CTATTTGTTTTTTTTAATATAAGGATAATATTTTTATTTTTTTATATAATTTTTAAATGTTATTAAATGAGTAAATGTAAGTAATATCAGATATCTCAAATAAATAAATAAATAAATTTAATAAGGCATATGTTAAGGGTTTTTTTATCTTAAATATATATAAAAATGTGAAAATTAATATTAATTTTAGTGTTAGTGTTAAATTAATGAATTTAATTAAATAATTAAAAAATTAAAAATTAACTTTTATTTTTAACATAAATTTATTTAAAAAATGTACTCATCACATTTTTAATTTGTATCGTTAATATAAGTTAAATAAACTCATAAATAAAAAGAATTAATTATTTAAATAATATGTAAAATTATTTAAAAATATATATATAATTATTCCTAATTTTTTTCCTTCTTTTTTTTTAACATTCAGGTGAACAAATTAAATACAAAATTTCTTACCAACTAGGGATGAGGTGGCCATATTTTGTCGCACAAGGCAGTCCCTGAAAGAAAATTAATGGCAGTTAACAGCAATTAACGGTAGTTAAGACGGCAGTGGGAGTAAGGGCTCAATTGCTTCGATTGCAGAGTTTAGGGGCTTATATGTATCAATTAAAGTCTGAGGGCTTAATAGCGATTCTGGGGCTAGTTTAGGGGCTTCAGTTATGGTTTTGCCTTTTCATTTAAACAAGATTAAAATTGTACTTGTGGCGCACAGGGTATTGATCAGAGGTATAAATCCATTTTCTCCGAGAGAACGGAGAGGAAGCTATCATTTTTCTCGACCGGAGAGTGTTGAGAGATGGATTTCGAAGAGAAGGACATGCTGGCATGCTGCGGCAGCACCAAGTTCGTCCGGGAAATGGTTTTGGCGTCTCCTTTTGCTTCCTTGGATCTCGCCGTCTCCGCCGCCAGGGACATCTGGTTCAACAAGGTCTCTTCCCCTTCTCTCTGCATATCTGACCATGATATACATTAATTAATAAACCAATGAAAGATTCAATTTTTTAGTCCTTGAATTAACAATTTTTATTGATTATATACAAAAAGGTTGATGTTTCTGGTTGGCTGGAAGCATTTGCGGCTCATCCCCAGATCGGAGAATCCTCTTCTTCCAACACCACCAGTGCTGGGTCTCTCCCCGTCTTCCAGACTAATTTCTTCTTCTTCCTATTGTTCCCAAATTTTCTCTCTACACCATGCCACCTTTACTTTAACTGCTTAATGGGTTGTATGCTAAAAGTAATAATTCCTTTTGCAGTTGGAGTAGGGGAGAGCAGTCGACTGCTGTAGCAACTGCTACTGATTCTAGCTTACAGGTTTGGGTTCTGCTGTTTTCAATTAGTGATTAGTGATTGCCATGAAGTCTTTTTGCAACTGAAAACAAAACTGTTGGAGGAATCGCCTCACACAAACATGCAGTAGAGTTGGTAGTGTTAGTGATTAGTGCTTTCTTGTAAAATAGTACCTTCTGGATCTTTTTCAGGAATTAGCTGAGTGGAATGCTCGGTATAGGCAAAAATTTGGCCACATTTTTATAATTTGTGCTTCTGGGAGGAGTACTGATGAAATTCTTGCTGAATTGAAGGTAAACTTTGATTTCAAGTTGTTTTACTAGTCACCATGACCATTAAGCTTGCCTTTCTTCTGGAAATGATGCCTTTGGTTAGAGTATGATTCTGAAGTTGCATTATTTCATTTGATAATAATGCCTGAACTTTCATAATTCATTATCATTCTTGAGTCAGGTGGATGTTGATGGTTAGGTTATCTATTTAAGCAGACTATTTTATTTTTTTTTTCCTTTTTCCAATAGTGAAGTTTTTTGTGATCCCTTAACATGCTGATATTTTCTGTAAGTCTAGATCGGCCATGATATGAATGCTACCAAATGTGCTTGTGCTTCTACAATTTTTAGTTTTTCACATTGTTTGTTCTTTTTTCATTACTGAATTAACATCAGTTGGCCTGTTGAACCAATTTAACTTGATTTTCTTTGGTCTTATCTGAAGTTTTATCAAATAAACCCTCCTAAAAGGTTTTGAGATTGTCAATTTGATTGAAGTTTTCTCTATTTTTTGCTCTTTTAGAAACGATACTCGAACAGGCCTATCGTTGAGATAGAGATTGCAGCCACCGAGCAGATGAAAGTAACAGAATTACGTTTGGCAAAACTCATCTCTGCTAAAGCAGAAGCTGCTTCAAAAGGAGACTCTTATCCAACGGTTGATACAAAGAAAGCAGAAGGTTTATTTATTTATTTATTTATTTATTTTGCATTTTGGTTTTCTTTTTAATCACCTTCCCTTGAAACTGCGGTTTTGTGCCCTTTTGAAAGTGAAATTCCACATCTTAGTTTTCTCTTCTGCAACTTTTATCTTATTCTTTTGCTTCTGATTATGCAGCCCCAATTTAGGGCTTCGCTGCATGCAGTGCTAACATTTCTACTAATCCTGCATTTCATATTTCTCTTCCCCACTTCACTTTCTTAAAATCTAGAAGATCGTGTAAGCATAATTGGAGCACATATAACTGCTGCTTCAGAAGCTTTGGCTGGAAAACCACCTCAAGTTCCTAGTCGAACCCGTCCACCCATTACAAGCCATGTCTTGGATGTAGCTCGGGGGTATCCAGCAGCTGGTATCGAGGTTAATCTGGAAATGTGGAATGGCAACCAGGCCCGTCCCCAGTTTGGCAAGACCGACACAAGTGGTTGGATACTTCAAGGATCTTCAACCACAGATAAAGATGGACGCAGTGGCCAACTTATGAAAATGGTTGATGCTTTGACCCCAGGAATATACAGGATAAGTTTTAACACGGGTAAATACTGCCCAAATGGCTTCTTCCCTTATGTTTCAATTGTATTTGAAATCAGAGAATCACAAAAATGGGAACATTTTCATGTTCCTCTGCTCCTTTCACCATTCTCATTCTCCACGTACCGTGGAAGCTAAAATTTATGCCATGCCCATCAATCAACCAGGAACCTTCTTTGCTGTAATTTCTTTGGAATGCTGAAGTTATCATGTTCTTAACTGATTGCAGATTGTACACTACTTATATTTAATAATAATGAGACTATGGGTGCGTTTGGAATTGCTGTGAATTGTTGTGGTTGTGCTTAGTTGTGATTATATTGTGTTATAACTGTAGCCGAAAGTTATTTTAGTATTTGGTTATTTATTTTTTAAAAGCATTATAAATGAAATATGATGAATTTTATTAATTATTAATTAAAAATTTAAAAATATTGTAAGATATATAATTATTAAAATATATAATATTTGTTATTTTTTAATAATTTAGGTTTTTTAAATTTTTTAATTATTAAAATATTATAAATTATGACATTATTAAATTATATAAAATTAAGTTTTAATAGATAATTTTGTAATTATATTAAATATTATGTATTTTTCGTAAAAATCACAGTTAGAGAGTTTCAAAATGAGATTTTTAGTTTTATACATATAATTATTATAGATTGCTGTGATCTTTTGTAACTTAAAAAAAAAAAAAACTCATGTTTGTGTAAAACGGGTTTAGTCCCGCCACCGAACTTAAAAAAAAAAAAAACAGTTTAAAAAAAATCACCGAACACATATCTAAAAGTGTTATGTAGTTACATGAAAAAGTTTCCAATCACAATCCAAACACACCCTATATCTGTTCTTATATGAGTTATTTTGCTCATTTTTTCCATATGGATCACATAAATTGTGTGATAAACATGAGAATAGGATCTGAGGGGCTGGTATTAATCAGCAATTAAACATTAATTCTGGTTTATTAGATCATTGACCCAAAATTTGCGAGCAGCCACAGAACCTATCTAAGTATCTGCCGAATGCTACACATGTTGCCTTGTTCTAATTCTATATAACTCCCCTGTAAGAAAAATTGTCAGTGCATAGAACAAAATCAAACTACTAGTGCAAAGAAAAGATAAGTGAAACGAAATATGCAGGCAATAAAGGAGAAAATAAACGACATGAGAGTCATCCACAAGGCCAGAGCTGATGCAAGGGCGGAGGAGCAGGTGCATGTGGTTTAAATTTTGTTTTGTATATTTTTTTCCTAATTACGTGAGATTTTTATTTTTAAATTTAGTATTTTTTATATATAGGAAGAGAAAGAACGGGCCAGGGCTGAGAAAGAACTGGCGCAAGTAAGGGTAGAGGTAGCTCATGAGGTGAGGAAGGCGAAGGAGGCCGAAGCAGAGATGGAGCAGCATGCTGTAAAAGCCAGCCGGAGGGTACAGGAAGAGATAGCAAAGTATACTACGAACCAGAATGAGCCTCCTGATGCCACCGTTGCAGCGGGGGCTGCCGGAGCTAACTTGGGATGAATTATTTCCCTTTTTATTTTATATTTATTTATTGGATTTAAGTTTTTTTATTTAATCTTAACTTCTATGCATTTATAAAATATTGAGAAGGTCCAAACCAGGGACTTCCACACTAAGTATGAATTTTTGGCCGGTAAAATATAGTTCCCACATGATATATGTATCAAATTTCTTTTTGTCACAAACAATTTTTTTGAAGTGTTTGAACCTTTTACAGAGATTTGACATTAACAATTAACGGTTTAAACTAATAAAACACAAATAAGAACACTTAGATTACAAAGAACAATCACGATGACCCATTAAATGGCAGCCATCAACTGTATTCCAAACATTTTCTTTTGGTTGAGATTAAAAAGAAAAATTAAAGGAAAGAAAAAACTTCTATATTCAGCCGAGTCTATCGATGCCTAAAGATGGCCAAAGGAAAAAAAATTAAATAAAATAAAATCAATGCCTAAAGAAAGACCCTATAAAAAAAATTAAAAAAGAAAAGCACAGCCTACAAGTGGCGAACTACATTATAGCATTTTCATAAAAAATATTCATGCTAAACTTAGAGATTATTCCAAAAATCATTGCCAAAGAATCACATTTTATTAGTGAAGATGAATGACTCTAGTATTAGCTAAGATCTTGAAAACTTCAATGTACCGAAAAATTAACCACCATCATCTTTCTATTGAAATAAAATAAAAGCATAACTAGTTTTGGAGCAGCAACTACAAAAATCAAACTAATGAATGGCTTTAGTCATTGAGCATTACTATACAAAAAATTCAAATGAAAAATTTTACAAAACTACCTGACCCCATTATCGTATTGTTATTGAACTGCTAATCTTTGGAGATGATCCAAGAACACCTCAAAGCTGACATCATCAGTAAATATTATGTCTCCACCTGGGTGATGACTATCGGAGTTATATGTTGCAGAAGGGTTTAATTTTGCCAGAAGAAAACGGGCCTACATAAAAGACAACGTGCTAGTAAGCAACATGCACTGCAACATGCACTGCACATTTACACGGATGCAAGTTAATATCAATGTACATGCCATGGACTTACAATAGCCATCTAACATAGAATGTGAAGGTTATAATCCTGCACAGCATACCTCAGCTTCCACAAGACCTACCTATCAATTCAAAGGGACTATCTCCTTTCTTTTCTTACCTCTCTCCTCTCATGTCTTCTCTTTATAAATTCTTTTTGGAAACTTAAATAGGCAATGTAATGTCATTTACATCACAGAGAGTTACAGAGGATTTAGAATAATGGGATATAATGCATGAATGAACCAAAGTCCAAGGGTACTTTTAAGGAGGAAGGGGCGGCCACAAGCAGCATAAAATATCGTCATTCAAACAACTTACTATGTTCAAGTTACTTCATCAAGAAATTCAGTAAAGCTACAAACCTGTGAACCATGTTGATCACAAATGACTAGACGAGGTACAGGAAATCTTTCCTTAATTATTGCATCTGCATCATCACGAGGAGCTTGCAGCAACTGAGCAAATGCCTGTAAGAGATTAATAGATCCAAGTTACATTCTTCCCAAACTCTAAATGAGAAATGAGAATGGTTCAGGTGCAGAATTCCCATCATAACTTGTAAGATAGCTTCACTGTCCATAACAAACAACATACAGGCAACTAATGGGGTCCTGAAAAGCCCCAGTTCAGATCCCTCCATCCCCATTTATGTGAGTGCATTCTTACATATAAAGTAAATGACATATAAAACACTTTTCTTAGACAAATTAGCCCCCCAAAAGCAATATTAAAGTCATCTTTAGCATGCAATCTGCTGGTGGTCATAAGAATTCCATCAGTTTGTTGCCATACTTAGGTCAGAGAAAACACTTCTCTGACAGAGCATGCAATCTGCCGCTGGGCATAAGCATTCCATGCAATCCGTTATTGTCTTCTTGTCAGTTGTCATCTCACTGGTTGCACCTACTTTACCTTCACATGAGAAATTTAGTTGTAACCAAGAAACTATAGCCCAACAATTTCCCATATCACAATACAAGTGAGGTTTAGAGGCAAAGTCCCAATAATTTACGATCACAATCCATCCATAGGATAGGGAGCAAGAATGAGTCACAATAAGGGTGTCAGATAGTCAGGCCAGTAATTTTCCCTAGCATAGTTTAAGAGACATGAAAACCCAATGGAAATCTATTTGGAGATTGATACTCACCATTTACCAAGTGCCTTCTCAGACTAGGGTTCAAAAAGAGGACATCAGCCCCTATTAGATCTAATGAAAAAAAAAAAAGAAAAAAAAGAAAAAAAAGAAAAAAAAAATGCTTGCCTCTTTATTCAGCTGAATTTTAAACTACATGTTCAAACAAAATTACCTGATGCTCTGATTGGTTATGGTATCCAGCTTTTCGCCATTGAGCAATAGTTGATCCATGAAAAATAACAACAGTGAAATAAGCGTCTAAAAGCAGTATCCTGTCAGCTGCAATGGCAGCCACATCTAAAAGTGCTGGTTCTGGGCCTGAATGGAATGAATATGAAATCAACGAAGGCTGAATCATCACAACAGAATTGGCAACACTTTCACGGTTCAGGATCATTCTGAAGTATGCAGTCTCATCTGGGCTATTATTAAATACCTACAGGGAAATGAATTGCCAGATTGAAGAACATTTGATATAAGCCAAGGTGCACCAATTAAAACTATCCAACTGTTGACAATTATTTAGATGACAGAAAATATTGTACTAACAAACAAAGATTGATGATACCTGGACAAACTGAGAACGCCGCAAGTGAAAAACAAACTGAGGAAATATTGAAAACCGTGGAGATAAGCTGAAAGAAGATGGGTTGTCCTTTTGATAATCTCCAAACTTTGAACATACATGTATCAATGTTTTGTCCAGCCATCTAATAGGGTCAAACTCAGCCTGCAGTGTCACAGTTGGATTATGCAATGAGTACCGCTCATGTCTTAATTACATAGTCAACTCTTTTCATATAAGTATGGAAGACAGTAAAGAAAAATATATAACTCTGAGTTACTACAGCATAAACAAACAGCGACCAAGAACCATTTTTGACCCAGGGTTTTGCAGTCAGACCGCAAAACCTGCCCATCTTCTTTATGCAAGACTTATTGATTACCTCAATTTCCATTTTGAAAGAAACTAGACGCGCCATGACCGCAGCAGCTGCTTCTTGATCAAATCCAGCAATCAAGTCCTACAGTATTTTGAAGCATGTAGCGAGACAAGCTCAATATTCAACTATAATTCCTTTTAGTGAGAAAGTTGCATAAGATAGTTTACATTAGAAATTCTCCCCTCTAAAAGAAATCAAGCAGAGAGGTAATAGAAGATGTCTCAAACCATTCTCATTGATACACAATGATCAGTAATTTCACTTCAACCATGGCACCTAACAAACAGAAAATAACAACAGAGCTTGCCTGTATGCTCCCTGGTCCAGCAACCCATCTCCTTGAAAGAGTTGTTACACGAAGTCTCATTTCACCACTACTATGCTGGTAACTGAACAAAATAATTGTATGTCAAACAAATTCCTATCTGACAGCCAAATGATAAAAAGCAAAAACAAGTTTCCATCTCTACTTAAACAAAGAACAATAAGTAATAAGGTTAAGAGTTCATACTATGTCAGAAACTGGAAGTAGAATTGATTGCTGGTGGATTGAACACCAGCATCAGGGATGTCCTTCTTAACAATCTCAAATACTAAACATAAAGACGTAGCTTTATCAAGGCCACACATTTTCCATGCACTGGTGTTCCCTTGCCCAATTGTTGTGTCAGAGCACAAAGGTCCTTTCTGCACAAAGTCATCCACAATTAAGCATCTTAAGTCCAAGATGCACAAAAGGGAATTGTGTAAACCTCTTAAATTACACCTTTTCAAGAGAAGCACAAGGGCCAAGGATTCCCTGAACTTTGATGTCCTTTGAACAGTTTATCTCAAATATACCACTGAAAGCAAAGAAATCAATTGAATTAAAAACTATGAGTTTTATATAAGACCACAAGGAAGACAGTTCAGTTTTGTTAGAGCTAAGCCAAGCCTTACTTTGAAGATAGTCCTAGATCATAGTCAGTTGACTGAAAAACACGTCTAAGAGAGTCCTTGAAAACTGAGTGACCAAAACTTTCTGCAAGCACAACCAGCCCTCCAGTTCTCTCAACTGCAACTTTAAGTTCAGCAACACCCACCTAGGAATTGACAGTAACATAGAAGGCATGGTAATTCTCAACGGATTGGGGATTCCATGCTAAAATGCTTAAACTAGTATGGTAAAGCATGTCTAGAGGGAAAAACTAACCTGGTCAAGAGCACAAGCAAACAGATCAAGCACATGCCCTTGATGCACAAGCTGCTTTGCAAGCCCTTCATAGAACTTGACAGCTTTATGATAATGGGTTGCGGAATCTTTGTCAAGATCTTTGTGGGAACGAATTGGTTCAGATAGATTCTTTGAGACAATCTAGAAGAGGAACCAAAAATAACTAGTTAGTGACTAGCCATTGCCTATAATGGGATGAATGATGGTTAAGAGAAACGCCATAGCACTTCTTACAGCACTAGGGCCTTCTGTTGATGGACCTCCAACAAATGCCATGATCCTGGCTCCGGAACCAGGAACACAGGCTCCCAACAAAGCAGCAGCCACACTCAATGCAGTACCAGTGCATCTGGCAGCACGTTGATCAGCAGGAACGGGCCATGGGTCTTTCTGGAGCTCCTCCAGGACCTAAAGGGAAGCACATTTATCCAAACTTTAACTACAATGAGAACTAAGAACTAAAATCTAATAGTAAGAATTCAATTTGTCAGGGTTAATCTTAACTTTTCATTGAAAAGTGAATTCATTTTTAAAATTACGTACCGAATTGAGGGCGAACTCGCACTCAGACGCAGGCAAGAGGAAACGCGCAATGCTTTCAGAAGAAAGGCCGTCCCTGGCACCAGCGATAACACCTGTTGGAGGCTTAGGCTTCTTGATGAAGAAGCTCATTTGCTCGAGGAGCTGATCCTTGGAGACTTCCTTGGAGCCCTTAAAGACATAGGTCTTGGGAATTTGCCCAAAGCCCAGCTCGTGCACGTGGACAAGGGTACCGAAGGTGATCAATCCAACAAGAGAATTGTCAGGCAAGAGTCCAATAGCCTGAGACAAAGCAGACTTGAGGAAGGCCATCTCCTCCTCGATGATGCAGGTATCGAGCACAAACATAAATACCGGCGGAACAGAGGCAGCCTCGCCAGGAGACTGATACTCGATGGTGGTATACTGGGGGAACAGCTCGGCGGGGAGATTTTCATCGGAGATGGAGGCATACTGAGGAGGGAAGTGATTGCGCTGGAAACAGAAAGGGCAGATCCAGATCTTGGCGGCAAAATCAACAATAGAAAATGGATTAAGAACGGAACGGCAGTTACGGCAGCGGAGAGGGGCGTAGGGGAGGACGGGAATGTTTGGGAACTGCTTGATCGGAGTGTAGATGGCCGATACCGGGACGACGCAGTTGGTGGCCTCTTGCTTGGTTCCAGGGACGACGTTCCACGACATCCGAACGCCGTCCTGCGCTTCCAGCTCCAGGAATTCCGCCATTATTACTCGATATCAAGTATGATCGGATTGATGGAAAGATCAGAAGTGGAAATTGCGATTTGGAATGAAGCAGCTTTGTACAATCTGGGGTTTGAGGTTGACTCAGTGAAGAAGATATGAATGGAGAAAAAAAACAGTCTCCTCACTGAAGTTTTCCAGTTTTCTTTCTTACTATCATAGCGTCCAGTGGTAAAACGTAAGAGAAAGGCAATTTTTTTTTTCTTTTGTGAAAAATAAGAAAGAGAGACTAGAAGATAATGCATATTAACCTTGATTTTTAAGTTATTAAAAAAATTAAAATTTTAATTTAAAATTTTCACATTTTAATAATTATTTTAAAAAATAATAGTAAGATTTATATACTATTAATATATATTATATGTCAATTTTTAAGTTTATATAACATCTATCATCATTCTATGAGAAAATATGTCTTTTCAAATGTATATTTAATATTTTTAATTTTTGTTATTAATAAAATAATTATATATTAATTTAAAAATTAATATACATGTGTTTGCATAAATGAAACACTCAAACCTTATTTAATATAGTTGTAGTTTTTTATTTTGATTTTTATAAATTTTGCAACTATTAATAGAAAATGAATTTACTTTTCATGTATTTTTACAATATATTATTGTGATTACTAAATATATAAAAACAAAAATGATTTTAATAATGTTAAACAATTCATATTTTTTGTTAATAGTATTAAAACTTGTTTTAAATAAGTTGTTAATTTTTTATTTATAATTTTGGTTTTTAGTAATTACAAAATTTATGAAAACTATAATTAAAAACTATAATTAAACTAAATAACTGCTAAATCTATTGGTTAATTTGAAAATATTCGTTCAAAGATAATGCTTTTAAAATTGAAACTTCAATTATTTGTAGAAATCAAAATTAATACACTATTCTTATAGGAATTAATGGATATCAACCTATATGGTAAAATGTTGAATAAAAAATTACAAAATTATGTTATTTTAATAAAGTATCATAAAAAAAAACCTAAAACAGCTTCATTCATATTTTAAAAATTAGAGTATTTTAATTTTTTTAATGAAATTATATTAAAATAATGTAATTTTAAACTTTTTTT